CTCTTGTTCTCATCCCCTCGCCCCCGCTGGAGGGGCTGTGGTTTGGCCAGCAGCTGTCTGCCCCTCTCTCTTGCTTCCCCTTCATTCCCCACTGCACACCAATAGACCGGGACAGTGTGCTCCACTGTCCTATCATGTCCTCGCTGGCTATCAAAGCACCGTTCTTCATTCTCCCACAGGTGCAGCCAGACGGGAGCATGGTGCCTCTCCCTCACCTCTCCCTCATGCCCACCACTTCAAATGATCCTGTTTCCTTTTAAAAATTAAATTTGGGGCTGGGGATTTAGCTCAGCGGCGCAGCGCCTGCCTGGCAAGCGCGATGTTGTGAGTTTGATTCCCGGTACAGAAAAAAAAAAAAAAAAAATTAAATTTATTGGTACTCTTTCTCTCTCTCTATATATATAATGATCACATCACAGGAAATTTGTAACTATATATGATATATCCTGTTTCCTCTTTTTTCTTTTATTTTTTTCTTGAAGAAGGAAGTGGGCACCATGGAGTGGCTAAGATCAGGAAGGGAGGGATCTGGGCCCCTTATTTGCATATCAAATATCCATGGCTAATTTTTAGCTCTGCCCCTCACTGAATCAGGCCAGTCACTGCTATACAATGGGCCTGAGGCACAGGCCCTGTTAAAACGAAGACTCACTTTGGTGTTCCTGTAAATGCTGCCTGTGATTTATCTCTCGGGCAGTGCGAACTTCAAAAGTACCATAAATCTTCTTGGGATTTTTATGCTGAGTAGCATGGATAGAGCAGTCATCTCCAAAGAAAGGGCAATACACATTCAGAGCTGTTAACACCTAAGTGCTCCAGACACGAGCAGCCGACAAAGACCAGCACCCACTTGGCCTGTGGTGTCCAGCACAAGCTGGCATCGGATGGTGACAGCCAGAAGCAGCAGTGACCAGCAGCTGGCTGTGTGAACTGCTGGCTCCAGCATTACCTGGTGTCATTTGGTGACACAGGGCTGCCAGCAGAGCTGCATGTTGCTGATTCACCATTTCCATCTGATTCTAGAAGAACCCGCAGCTGACTGGCAGCGCTATGGCTGTAATTTGCATTTCCCTGATTATCAGGGAGGATAAAACTTTGTTTTTGGCCAGTACTGAGGATTGAAGTGAGGACAAATGCTGTACCACTGAGCTATGCCATGTCTCCCTCTGCCCTTTTAATTTTTTTGAGATAAGGTCTCACTCAGTTGCCCAGACTGACCTTGAACTTGTGAGCTTCCTGCCTCAGCCTCTGGAGTAGCTGGGATTACAGATGTGTACCACTACCTCTGCTAAAACTTCTCTTAAACTTATTGGCCCCTTGGGATTCTTCCACTGTGAATTACCTGGGCCTATTTTTTTGTCAAGTTGTTTTTTATTTTCTCACTGAGTTACAGTACTTTTTATGCTATAGGTAGTACATAATCTTCTTGTCAGTTATCTGTGCTACAAATATTTTCATCCAGTCTCTGTTTTATGGTATCTTTTCATAAAAACAAGTTTTTAGTCTTCATGCCACACTTGTCAACCTTTTCTAATTTGTTTTAGTGTCTTGTTTAAAAAGAGAAAACAAAAAACAAACCAACTTTCCTACACAGTGATAACCCATTTACCTTTACTTGAAAAGTATTTAAAATTTTGTTTGTTGACTGTGTGTCTTTTTATTTTTTATTTCTGGTACTGGCAATTGAACCCCACATCTTTGCACTGAGATGCATATCCAGTTCTTCTAGTTTATATTTTGCTAAATTGTTCGGTTGCCTAGGCTGGCACGAATTTGAGCTCCTCTAGTCTCTACGTCCCAGAGTGCTGGGATTAAGGTGTGTGCCACTAGGCCTGGCTTGTATTCACTTTTTTTTTCTTATACTAATGGGGAGAAAGCCCAGGGCCATTTTTCACTCTCATTCTACATTCCCAGGCTTTTTTCTTCTTTGCCTTTTGAGATAGAGATTTCACTATGCAGTTCAGGTTGGTCTTGAACTCATTTTGTGGCCCAGGCTGGCCTCAAACTCACAGTGATCCTCATGCCTCAGCCTCCGAATTGCTGGGATTATAGGCATGCACCACCATGCCTGGTTTATTTTTTATTTTGGGATAGAATCTAGTTCAATTGACCAAGGTGGCCTTGAATTTGTGATCCTTCTGCCTCAGCCCCCTGGGTCATTGGGATTATACTCATTTACCACCTCACTGCCATCTTTGGCCTTTGCAGTAAGCTGCACTTTAAAATTTTTATCTTGAGAAAAAAGTCTAAGTTGCTGAATTACCCAGCCTGGGCTTGAATTCACAGTCCTCTTGCTTTAGCCTCCAGAGTGCTGAGATTACAGACATGAGCCACCATGCTCAGCTGTATTCGCTTTATTTATCTATTTATCTATCTGAGACAGGGTCTTACTATGTAGTTCAAGCTGGCCTTCAACTGATGATCGTCCTGCCTCCGCTTCCGCAGTGCTAGGATTACAGCCAAGCACCACTACACCAAGCCTACATTCCTTTTTTGTACCACGTACTCAAAATCTGATGTTCATTTTACACTTCAGAGTACGTGCTCCGTAGCCACCCAAGGCTCATGGCGACTGTGGCGGACCACACAGCTATGGAGACAGCCATGGCAGACGGTGCTGCATTGTATTGGAGTGATCCACTTTCCTGTCAACCTCGGTTATGTACCAGTGAATTCCTGGAGGCTGAGTCTCACCCATGTTCTGTGAGTCCTTAGTACTCAGGATGCAGAGGTGCTGCACCAGTTTTAGTTCAAAGGAGCTGCATTTTCACTGGCTTTTCTTTCTTTAAAGTTGAACTTTTTTCCCTGTAAAGTTCCATCCAGCAACCCTCGTTCTGCTCCCCATGAAAAAAAACTTTTGGTTTCCTCCAAATTTCTTTTTTGAGCTAAATATGACAGGGCACTACCCTTTCCTTCTCTGATCTTTTCTCTGAATGACTTTTGGGCTTTTCTCAGATAGGACTCATACTTGATTAGAAACATTTCATTACACAGGTTGATTGGAAAATCTGAAAAGTTCCAAAATTTGAAACGTTTTGAGCACTATGATGGCACAAATCTGATGGTTTAATGTAAAGAAAACTTTTGTTGCACGCACAAAATTATTAAAAATGTTAAGCTGGGTGTGGTGGTGCACACTGGTAATCGCAGCACTTGGGAGGCTGACGCAGGAAGATCGCTGTGAGTTCGAGGCCAGCCTGGGCTACATAGTGAGCTCAAGGCCAGCCTGAACTGCATAGCAAGACCCTGTCTCAAAAAGACAAAAAAAAAAAAAAAAAAAGACAATCCCCCCAAAATGGTATAAAATTGCTTTCAGACTATGTGTATAAGGTGTATAAAAAGCAAATGAAAGGAAAGCATGGCTGGGAAATCATGTAGAAATAAAGTAAAATATTTAACAATGTTAAAAAGAATAAATGAATTTTGTGTTTAGATTTGAATCTCATCCCAAGATCTCTCATTATTATAATAATAATAATAATTATTATTATTGTCTTTTTGAGACAGGGTCTCGCCATGCAGTTCAGGCTGGACTTGAGCTCACTTTGTAGCCCAGGCTAGTCTTGAACTCACAATGATCCTCCTGCCTCAGCCTCCTGAGTGCTAGGATTACAGGCATGTGACACCACACCCGGCAACTAAGATCTCTCATTATGTAGACACACATATTCCAATATCTAAAAGAAGTCTAAAACAGAGTGTGGTGGCACACGCCTATAATGCTAGCATTTGGGAGGCTGAGGCAGGATGATCTTTTTTAATTCGAGGCCAGCCTGGGCTACATAGTGAGTTTAAGACCACCCTGAACTACACAGGGAGACCCTGTCTCAGGGAAAAAAAAGTCTGAAATTTGAAACTGAGCCCTAAGCATTTCAAATAAAGAATACTTGTGCTCACTTTGACAGCACATATACTAAAATAAAAAGTACTCAATTTCTAATTACTTCTTATGTTTATGTTTTCTTTCTTTTTTGCTTTTTTGAGGCGGGTGTCACTACATAGCCCAGGCTGGCTCAAACTTGGGGCAATCCTTCCAGGTGCTGAGGTTACAGGTGTGCACCATCCTGCCCGGCTGATGTTTTACTTCCATAACCACACTGCGAGTTCCTAGAAACCCCAGGTTGAGCTGCGCCAGTGCCTCCCCTTCAGGTGACTTTGTTGTAGGCCTCCCCTGGGCCCTACTGCCCATTTTGGCCTTCAGAAATCACAGAATTTCAGAGTTGAAAAAGCATGCGGACTATTTCAATTTATTCTTTCATTTCTCAGCCAACGAGGGGGAAGAGCCAGGAGGTTAACTTGCCCCAAACCCCAGTTAGTGCCAGGGCCAGGGACCAAAAAGAACCCCAAGTCCAGCTGGATATGATTGTGCATGCCTATAATCCCAGGATTCAGGAGGCTGAGGCAAGAGGACTGCTGCAAATTCAAGGCCTGCTGGAACTGTATAGGGGACCCAGTCTCAGAAAAACAAAAACAAAACCCAAGTTTCCATACTGGGCTGTTTTCTCTACTCCACTTGCCCACCTCTCTAGCCCATCCTGCAAGATACAAGGCTGGCCAAGGTGCCCTCAGGCTGGCCAGCCTGCAGGAAGTCCACCAAGGCCTGGATGCCCAGGGCCTGGCGAAGGAGGAAGTTATGCATACAGGTGGGTCTTGGGGGTGTGGGGTGGAAGGACCACAGTGGGTTAAAGTTAACTCCACACAATGATGCAATAGCAGAGCCCAAACTGAGTGCAGATCGCTTTAAGAGAAGAATAGTTGTTTAAAAAGAAAAGAAAAAAAAAAAAAAAAGGGAAAGAGTAGTTGTAATCTGAAGCCTGCTGGAGGCTGGTTGGGAAGCAGCTATAAAAGCTCTAGTGCTGGCTGCAGCCCCTCGGAGTGCACACTGAGCAGGACCTAAACTGGAGTAGAGCTGGGAGTGGAGCTGCAGGGAACCACAGGTAAAGCAGCTCCGGGTCTAGTCTGCGGGTCAGGGGCAAGACAGGAAGGAGGCAGGGATACCCCAGGAACAGAAAGAAGGGCCTGCGAGAAAGAGGTGGGGAGAGCAGCCTGGCAGCTTGGGCACCAGCATGAGTGGACGAGAGAGGGCAAAGGAGTGGGGGAGCAGGAGGACAAGAGCCAGTTAGCCCCAAACCCCACTGCAGCGAAGGACACTAAAGGACTCTGAGCGAAGTGACTGGGAAACAGTTGGGGGCTGTGGAAGCAGAGAGCTCAGCTCTAGGTCAAGTCTGAGCAGCTTCTCCCAAGGCTGCAGCCCCAAGGGAAGGACCCTCTCAAAGACGTCCCCCCAGGGGTGTCCGGAAGGTGGCCGGCCTGCAGCCCAGCCTGGCTTCCACTTACTCCTCTCACTGCTGCTGTTTCAAAATCAACTGGTCCTGATTTCAAAGGTAATTTCCCAACGCCACCAAGCAGCCCACGGCTAGCCCTGCCTGAGGGCTGAGCTGGAGTATAGCGGGGCTTCTGTCCAGGACCCCCGGGAGTAAAAGCTGGGAGGCTGAGAGGGCCCACCCATTGTGAACAATGGCCACCACTGAGCTCCGCCAGTGTGGGGCTGAGGGGCTCGGCTGCCTGGGCACCCTGCTCACTCCGAGGCAAGCCACTGGGAGTCTGAGGCAAAGAACAGTTGCTGGCTTGGAAAGCCACCGTTTGGCTGAGTTCAGTCCTTAGCCTGAGGGGGCCTGGGGCGGGGACCAGGGAGTTCTAGTCCCAGCGCTGGTGCATCTCGGGTGTGGGGATATGAGATTCTAGGGTGTTGGTCTGACTCCCTTAGGTTTTAAGATTAAAAAAAAATACTGCCTGGGGGCTGGTGGTGTCACCATGGGTGTGCCAGAAGGGACCCCTGGAAACTCTCTTCCAAGCCAGGGGAGAGGGAGGTGCCCTTTCTTGCACCGTCCGCAGTTTCTGCTGCCATGTGGCTTGAAGGCTGTGTGGCTCTGGGAGGAGGGAGGAGAGGAGGAGGAGCCATGCTGTTTGTCTCACAGCTGGGTTTAATCTGAAACACATGTTCTGGCTTGTGTTTATCCCCCCAGTCTGGATGTAAGCTCACAATATCCCAGTTCCTGCGCTTCTTGGTCGGTGGCAGAGAGGAAGGTTGACCTTAGCCCAGGCTGTCTGCCACCTACCACGTCCTCCCTCGCCTGGTAGGCCAGGAGACTGGCTCCGATTCTGCCCTTTGGACAGGGTGGCGTCATTGTCTCTGTGCCCCTGGCCAGCCAACGGTTGTCCCAGCCTACACGACCGTCACCTTGCACAGGTCCTTGCATGTGCTCGGGGGCTCCCACTAGACCCGGTCTCTCTGTCCTGGTAGGGGGTTTTATCTATTTATTTCCTGCATCCCTGTGGCTTGAGGTGGAGGATTCAGTCATGGCCACTAGTACCACCTCTCCCTGCCTCTAGCTCTGGGCCAGTTTTGGACCTTGTCCCTTCCCCTGCCACGTTCCTCATTTCATCTCCAGTCCTCAGTTTACCCATGTGGTGACACTGGTCAGTTACATCGACCTGGAGTTTAGGGCAAGGACTAAAAGAAGATGCCTCTTTCAAGTGCATCTGAACTGTTTCCTGAAGCTGTTTCTCCAAGTACTGTGCCAGGCTGACCATGTCCTTCCCTTTCCTCTCAATTCCCTACCCCGGTGAGAGGTCAGCTGGGGCAAGCAGACAGTTTTTCCGCTAGCCTCGCCTCCTAAGCGTTGCACTCAGTTTTCAGTCTCCAATAAGCCAGTCCCTTGAGGCTCAGGCAAGGGAGGCTCCTGACAGCTCCGGGCAGGGCTGGCTGGGTGGAGAGCTTCTGTGAGCCTGAGTGTTGAGGTCTCTATCGCTGCCCGCCCCTCCAGAGACTGCTTTTCCCGCAGTCTAAATGGGCGTGTTTCCCTAGCAGCAGGCAGCCATGTGGAAGAACAGCTGGTGGAGAACACCGCGGGCCCTGGAGCTCTCACTCAGCTAGCTCCAGGAGGGTTTAGAAAGAAAGCTGGGCTGGTTCCTGCTAGCGGTACTGACTTAAGCTGAACACACTCAGAAGTCTTTTCTTTGTTGCCTTTCCTTCACTACAGTGTTGTCTGGTGGATTATGAGATTTAATTTTAAGGACTTCAGCCAACAACCACACACTGCCCTAACTTTTCTGATCCAATTTTTGGGGGAAATCAGGGAAGTTAGTGTGTTGTGCGTACAGGGCAGTGCTTCTGTGTATATAAAGGGATACGGCGGAACCCAGGAGACCCTCAGGGACGCTGTGTTGTGAGGCAGATGGAAAGTATGGACCAGCCAAACGTCCGGCTGCTGAGGCCTCGTCTGACTTTATAACTGAATGCTTCTTGGAAGGTCTTATCTGTAACCACCCTCAGCTGCCTTTGCCACTCCTTTCCTGATTCCAGGGTGAACACAGAGATGAGGTTAGCACAGAAACACCTAGTGCCCTAGACCCAGTTTTGAGTTTTTCTTGTGGTCTAGGTGCCAGGCACAAGCTAGGCAGAGGGTACCCAAGGAACTCAGAAGGCTGAGGCTGAAGGATTGGAAGTTTGGGGCCAGCCTGGAGAACTCAGTACGACACCGAGAATAAAAAGGGTTAGAGGTGTAGTTAAGCACTCCTTGGGGTCAATGCCTAGGAAAACAACAAAACAGCAGTTTAGTCTGAAGAAAAGAAGGCTCCAGGGGCTTAAGAGGTATTTATTTTCAAGCAAGGAGAAGTGAGAGGATGTGGCTCCACAGGGGTGGGGACGCTTGGATTCTCCTTGAAGAGAAGCATACTTGGCTGAGGGATCGTATGAAAGTTTACTGATGTCTGGTATTAAGTGCTACTAAGATATTGCTTAACTTTTAATCTTTATAATAATAATAGCTATTCCTTCAACTACATTTTACAGGAATGACATTTTACCTAGAGACCACGTAACACCCAGAACAGAGATTTTTGTTTTTTGTTTTTTGAATTTTGTTTTGTTTTTGAGACCGAGTCTTGCTAAATAATCCAGGCTGGCCTTTAATTCACAGCAATCCTCCTGCCTCAGCTTCCCAAGTGCCCAAGTGCTGGGATTACAGGCGTGTGCCACCATGCCCGTTTTTTTTTTTTGTTTGTTTGTTTTTTTTGAGACACGGTCTTGCTATGTAGCCCAGGCTGGCCTCAAACTCATGGCTATCCTTTCTCCTCAGCCTCCCAAGTACTGGGATTACAGGTGAGCACCACCATGCTGGGCCAGAATAGGGATTTAAACTCACATGTAGACCTTCCCATTAAGGGAGGAACTCTTGAAATGGAAATGAGAAGGGGATGAGCACCTGTATAGGCCGCAGGTTTCAGGCCAAAGGAATCCAAGAAGCTTGAAAAACCTCTTGAGAATAGAGGGTGTTGGATTGGATGCTTTCATTCTTGGTATTTCATGATTCTAGGGATAAGACCTGGGTTCTGTTGCCATTCCCTTAGGAGAGAGGGCCTCCAAGCCTATCAGATGAGCTGGCCAGGTACTTCTGGGGAAAAGTGTCCGTGTGTGCGTGTGCTAGGGCACAGTCCATGCAGAGGAGCCCACCGCAGGGTCTTCACTGCTCTGGAGCTTTAGGTTCCAAAATGGGTCACTGGACACAGGCTGTGGATGAAAGCACAGCTCGGGGCATGACTGGATTGAGAGGCAGGTGCACGGTGGGAAAGGCTGTGAGGGTGCAGTCTTCAAGCTCAGGGTCCACGTCCTGGTTGGAGAGGTGGAGGGAAAGGTGCTTGCTCTACTTTTCCTGCCTCCTGCTCAGCATGGTGTGGCATGGCTGGATGACGAGGGAGGGAAGTGGCCTGCACCTCTCCTTTCTCTTACAGGCTCAGGATGCAGGCCCTTGTGCTACTCCTCTGGACCGGAGCCCTGCTAGGGCATGGCAGCTGCCAGAACATCGCCAGCAGTGCGGAGGTCAGTGGGGGCTGCTGGCTGAGGGCATCAGTGGTCCCAGCCTTTCCTCAGCAGGCAGTGTGGGAGACAGAACTGGGAGGTGGCACCTGGGTACTAAGCTAGGCTCTGGCCTGTATTCCACCAGGGTCTTGGTTTCTCCCACAGAACTTTTCAGAGGACAGAGTAGGGACAAAAATAAGATCCAAAAGCCAGGTATGGTGGCACATGCCTGCAATCTCAGGACTCAGGAGGCTGAGGCAGGTGGGTCACAAGTTGAAAGCCAGCCTGGACTACCTAGGGAGTTCAAGACCACCTTGCATTACAGAGTGTGACACTGTCTCAATGAATGAATGAATGAATGAATGAATCAATCAATCAATCAATCAAAAAACAGTGATGGGGTGAGGGATATAGCTCAGCAGCACAGCCCCTGCCTGGCAAGCACGAGGGTCCTGAGTTCAATTCACAGTACCATAAATAAATAAATAAAATAGAAACAGTAAAAAGCCGAAGTACTCAAGTAAGTCTGGGGCTGTCCCTTCTGCAAGGACCTTTCCCCAGCTCCTTGTACTACTTGTGGGGCTGAGTGGGCACTGGTCTGACTTTTACTCAGATACTGACCAGGGGTGCAGCAGAGGATGAATTAGTATGGACACACATCTCCTGTCCAGTGAGAGCAGTCAGATTGCAAAGGCAGATACAGAGGAGAGGAGAGGAGAGGAGGGGAGAGGAGCCCCTGCTATGTGACAATGTGTGCTGGGGGTCCTTGTCACATGAGAGACAAGGCAGTTGGGATATACTAGCAGAAGCCCTGGACTTGGTTGTAGGTTTTGAGTTTGAATTCTGGCCCTACCTCTCACAGGCTTAGTGACCTTACACAAGTCACTCTTTTTTGGTCTTTTTGACACAGGGTCTCGCTATGTAGTTCAGGTTGGCCTTGAGCTCACTTTATAGCCCAGGATGGCCTCAAACTCAAAACAATCCTCCTGCCTCAGCCTCCCAAGTGCTGGGATTACAGGCAGTGCCACCACACCCAGCTTACACGGGTCACTCTTAAATCACTCCATTTCCTTAAAGGGCACTGTGACCATTCAGTTATTTCTCACCTGAATACCTACTCTGGAGGTGCTGGGATGGATAGAAATGTAAAAGACTCAGTTCTTGCTTCTGAAAGTCAATTCTTGAACTGGAAATATAGCTCAGTGGCATAAGCACCTGCCTGGCAAGCACAACGTCCTGAGTTCAATGCCTGGTACCAAAAAAAAAAAAAAAAGGAAGTCAGTTCTTTTGAGGTATTAAGTCTTCTGGTGCATCAGATAAATACTTCAACAAGCACCAAGTGAAGTAAGTCAGAAGGAAGCAGCAGGTCCTGAGGGTGTGGCTCAGGGGTAAAGTGCAAGGCCCTGGGTTCAATCTCCAACACCACAAAACAAAGCAAAAAACTAGCAAAGAGCTTGGCACAGTGGTAGGTGGCTAGTAAGCAGGTGGTGGCTGACTCTGAAAAAATGTCAGAAAAATGCAAGTTCCCTTCAGATAGGGAGGGAAAAATCTGTTTTGGGGAGAAGATGGAAGACTTAGGGAAGTCAAGACTTAGGGAAGTCAGGGGTTTGATGAGAGGGTCTAGGAAGAACCCTGGAGTCAGCGGTAGCCTGCTGTCGCCGGAGTATGGGGTTTCTTGCGGAGGGAGGTCCTTGATTTTTTTTTTTTTTTTGAACTGTGAATGGAACCCAGGACCTTGTGCACACCAGGCAGACAAGCACTGTACCACCGAGCCACATTCCCAGCTGCCATTTTAAAAAAATGTTATAGGCTTGTGGCTCACACGTCACAAACAGTTGAACCTCGTCAGCTAATCTCTCTTCCAGCCTGCCTCTCCCCAGCAGGGAGCTCGTGTTATCCAGGGAGCACAGGCTTCTTCTGAACTTGGGCCAAACACACCAAAACCAGGAAGGAGAGCTTCCCGGGGCCAGAACACAAGCCCACTCAACGCCATGAGAGGACACCGTTCACTGCCTGTCTCCACTGGTCCCTTTATTCTAAGCCAGGTCTTCCTGTCTCCTGCCAGGCCTCCCAGACCCCCGAGAGCACGGGGGAGCCAGTGGAGGAGGAGGACCCCTTCTTCAAGGTTCCTGTGAACAAGCTGGCAGCAGCCGTCTCCAACTTTGGCTATGACCTGTACCGGCTAAGATCCATCGAGAGCCCCACCGCCAACGTGCTGCTGTCTCCGCTCAGCCTGGCCACAGCGCTCTCCGCCCTTTCGCTGGGTGAGCGCATGCTGCGGCACGAGGCCACAAGGACCTGTGCGAGTGTGCAGTTCTGGGAGGCAAGGAGGTGCTGGGGAGCTGGATCGTGGCTTGTGCACCTGGGAACTTGGGGGCAGCACACGAAGTCCATTTGTTGACACAGTGACGTCAGTATTCATTCTTTTCTTGAATGAGCCCCTATTATGTGCTAGCCATTTGCCTACCCTCAGTGGGGTCATGGCTGATCTCACAGGGGACACCGATAAAAGGGTAGCTATACAACAGGTTAGCTGCTTTAATGGGATGACAGGGACTTGAACCCCAGCTTTGTCTCTCTAAGCTTGATACCTTTATCCTATTGTAAGAAAATCGCTTAAGGATGAAGGCACTGTTTCTTCCATTGCCCTTGAACTCCTTGTTGACCCAGAAGGTCTGCAATATCCACCTACTCAGGCTCCCAGAAGATAACACGAGCGAGGCCTGATCTGCTTATAGGGCTCCATCTTCGTCCTCTGCAGGAGCAGAACAGCGAACAGAATCCACCATTCACCGGGCTCTCTACTATGACATGATCAGCAACTCTGACATCCACAGCACCTACAAGGAACTCCTTGCCACGGTCACTGCCCCCCAGAAGAACATGAAGAGTGCTTCCCGGATTGTCTTTGAGAGGAGTCAGTCACCTTTCCAGCCTGGGCTGCCTGAGAGCCTGGGACTCTCTGTTCCACACTGGGGGTTTCTTTCTAGACAACAGATGATGTGTGCTCAGGCCAGGCCTGGCACTGGTGGGCAGGAAGGGGCCCGTGAGCCCAAAGAGAATCAGAAAGAGGAAGTAGGCTGTGGCGACAGCGGGAGGGTTTGGGGAGGGCAGTAACATGAAGAAGAACAGCAGTGGGCAAAATGAATTGTTCCCTGTTCGGTGCCCAGGGAAGCCGGCAGATGTCCTGGTGAGTCACAGGAAGATGCCGGGCAGGAAGTTGGGGCCTGCTGAGTGGTGAACCAGAACCTAAATCTGGCATGCTCTCAAACCGAGCGCTGGTTCCGCTCTCTTGCACTAACCCTGCTCCACCTCTTCTCAGAGCTGCGGATAAAAGCCAGCTTTGTCGCACTACTGGAAAAGTCATATACGACCAGGCCCAGAATCCTGACCGGCAACCCTCGAATTGACCTTCAAGAGATTAACAACTGGGTGCAGTCCCAGATGAAAGGGAAAATCGCCAGGTCTACCAAGGAAGTGCCCAGTGGAATCAGCATTCTCCTCCTTGGCGTGGCTTACTTTAAGGGTGAGGGCTTCCCCACTTTGGCCAGCAGGTGTAGAGAGGGCTGAGAAAGAGAAGTCAAAGACCTTACCCTACAGGAACCAGGGGCAAAGGCAGAGGAGGATCTGAGAACGGCATGTGCCTCAACCTACCTGCTTATCATCTACCAAGTGTCTACGAAGTGTTTGATAAGTACCCACGAATTGTGAGAGGCCTAACTGGGGCTGGGTGTTGTGGTCAATTTCTGACTTTTGAGTCAGACCAGGCTTAAGTCCTAACTCTGCCTTTATGAGCTGCCAGATCCTGCACAAGTTTGTTGGCCTTTCTGGGCCTGTTTCCTCAAGTCCCACCCTCCTTCACAGACACTTTGTGTATTTTCTTTTTTTCTTTGTTTTTGAGACAGGCGTTCACATGTAGTTCAGGCTGGCCTTGAATTCATTGTGTTGCCCAAGCTGGTCTTGAACTTGCAGTGATCCTCCTATTTCAGCCTCCTGAGTGCTGGGATCATGGGTGTGCACCCACTGTACCTGGTTTGTGTGTTTTCTTTTGTTTTCACAACCCTGGTACTGTATTTGGGACACAACAGTGCTTAGGAAACTTGTTAGTTATCGATCATCATTCTTCCAGTAGGCAGTGGTGAGGCGCCCAGAGCTGTTCCACAGGCCTAATGTGAGGCCAGCCCCATTCAGATAAGGCCTCGGAAGAGGGGTGATTTGGACAACATCCCCTTTAAAATTCTCGGTGACTCTGGGTGGGGTACCCCATCACCATGAGTTCGAAGCCAGCCTGGGCTACACAGTGAGTTCAAGGCAGCCTGAACTACGTAGCGAGACCTTGTCTCAAAAAACAAAAAAACAAAAAACAAAATGAAAACTCCAAAAAGGAAACAAACAAAACCCCCCCAAAACTTCGAGACATCTGTCATGTAGCAGCAATAGTGGGCCCTGTGAGCTCCTAGGGAAAAGTCAAATAGCTTTCTACTTCAAGCACTCATGTCCAGGGAGTGAAAGACAGTCACAGGTCTGGTATATTCAGGCCCACATTACACAAAGGAGCTTGACAATCCAGAGTCAAATCAACATCATCAATATATTTCCATCTGAGCTTGTTTGCAGAAGGTACTCAGGGTCCTGGAAATACCCTAACCACACGCTTAGGTAGAGCAGCTATTGCTCCTATGTCAGGGGTCTTGAGGGCTGAGGTTCCTTTAGCTGGGCGATTTTCAACTTGCTTTGTAGACACAGGACAATCCTGTGGTTTCTCTGGCGTCTGGGGCTCAGGACATTCTGTCATTTCATTCCAGGGCAATGGGTAACAAAATTTGACTCCAGAAAGACTTCTCTCCAGGATTTCCACTTGGATGAGGAGAGGACTGTGAAAGTCCCCATGATGTCAGACCCCAAGGCTGTTATACGCTATGGCTTGGATACTGATCTCAACTGCAAGGTCTGGAGGGGTGAGGCTGGTGAGGTTGGTGGGTGGTGGGATAGGTCAAAAGCAGGTAGAAAGGTATTGTGGAAATGGAATGACCTTTTGAGATCTGACAGCTATCTGAATTTCTTTTTTTTGGTCTTTTTGAGATAAGGTCTCACTATACAGTTCACACTGCCCTTGAGCTCACTTTGAAACCCAGGCTGGTCTCGAACTTGCAACAATCCTCCTGCTTCAGCCTCCCAAGTGCTGGGATCACCAGCGTGCACCACCATGCCTGGCAGCTATCTGAATTTTGCCTGCTGTATAACTTCAAGCAAATTACTAACCTCTCTGAGCCTTCCCTCTTAAAATGGGGCGAGGGATATTATAAAAAATTATCCACTCAGGGTTTATTTCAAGGGTTAAGGTAATAAGAAATCTGTCCTCAAGATCTGACACTCAGATATCGATGTCTTTTCATGAGACCTTTTAAGATTTAAGAGCCAAATTTTGAAAAATTGTCACAAACTCTCATTTGCTGCTGGCATTCTAGGGTTTTATGCATCCTTTTTTTTTTTTTTTTTTTTTTTTGTAGTGCCAGGGACAGAACCAAGGGTCTCATATATGCTAGGCAGCTGGTAACTATTTTACCACAGCGAAACATTCTAAGCCTGGCTTCCTTTATTCTGAAGCAGCAGTTCTTAACCTTCTTTGGGAATCTGACAAAAGCACTGGAAACATTTGAGAGAGATGCCATTTGTACATACGAACACACTTTTGTACATGATTTCAGGGGGCTTCCGACAGCATTTGTTCCATGGGCCTTAGGCTAAGGACTTCTGTTCAAAGGACCCATTTTATTGCTGCTTCTGTACTGTACCCAACACCACTCCTAGTCCAATGCTCTGCACATAGAAAGGATCCATTGAAGTTGGCAGATCGTGGTGTGTATCCATTCCCTGGCTCTGAGGCTCTGAAGGACTAACCCACATGCTTCTCCTTTGTTGGTTCAGATTGCCCAGCTGCCCTTGACTGGAAGCATGAGTGTCATCTTCTTCCTGCCTGTGAGGGCAACCCAGAATTTGACCCTGATAGAAGAGAGCCTCACTTCTGAGTTTGTTCATGACATAAACCGAGAACTGAAGACTGTCCAAGCGGTCCTGAGCATTCCCAAGCTGAAGCTGAGTTTTGAAGGCGAAGTTACCAAGTCTCTGCAGGAGATGAGTATGTTTGCCAAAGACCAGCTTGCTCTTTGGAGATGGGATGTGGTGGGGTCTTTGAGCCTTCACTGTGCCAAGCAGAACTCAAGGCCTGGGAGGGAGGTTCTGGCTGCTTGCTCCACTCTAATAGTGCTGGAGAGGCAGACGGAACTGTCGTGCTGTCAGGCTCGGTCCTTAGCACCTCAGCATAGTCCTCCAACAGGAGCTCAGAACAGTGCCTGCCAGGACAGGTCTGTGCCTCACTTGTGTGCTCGGGCAAGTCCCTTACCTCCGCACCAGCTTGGGGCGCTACATGCCTCACAGCAGGTGAAAAACAGTTCTCTTCCAGCTTATCTCTCCACTTTTCCTTCCTCCTCTCTGTGGTGCTAAGGATTGAACCCAGGCCTTTGCCCTGAGCCACACCCCCAGGCTTTTATTGTATTTATTATTTTTTATGTTGAGATAGGGTCTTGCTAAATTGCTAAGTTACCCAGGCTGGGCTTGAACTTGTGATTCTCTTGCCTCAGCTTCCCAGAGTGCTGGAATTATAGGTACACCACTATATTTGGCTTGTTTGTTTCCTTGAGAATCAGGATTTAGGAATCAGGATTTTGTTACCACTGGTCACAGCCTGCGGGGAAGATGTTCATTGGTTGCAGTTCCAAGGGCAGTGGGGCTGGCACGGTGGCAACTCCTGGGCCAAGATGGGCCTGGCCACTGGGCAGCAGCATAAACCAGGCATGGTGGTGCATACTTGTAATCCCAGAATTTGGGAAGCTGAAGCAGGAGGATCACCACAAATTTGAGTCACATCTGGGCCACATAGTAAGTTCAAGGCCAGCCTGGAATACTTAGCAAGATATTGACTCAAAAAACAAGAAACAGTGAAACAGGACTGTATTCTTTGTTGGGGTGTTGAATAAGGCAGGGCTTCCATGAGACTTTCACTCAATCTTTGCAGAGCTGCAATCCTTGTTTGAGTCACCCGACTTTAGCAAGATCACAGGCAAGCCTATCAAGCTTACGCAAATGGAACACCGAGTTGGTTTTGAGTGGAATGAGGATGGGGCGGCAGGAACTACCGCCAACCCAGTCCTCCAGCCTGCCCGCCTCACATTCCCCCTGCACTACCACCTGAACCAACCTTTCATCTTCGTCCTGAGGGACACGGATACGGGGGCTCTTCTCTTCATAGGCAAAATTCTGGACCCCAGAGGTACTTAATTAATGGTCCAGTACTTCAGAAAAAACCCCAGAGGGATGGCAGTTTATATATTAGAAGAGGGCAACCCCTATAGTTTCAATGTATACTTTGCAATAAAAGAGCTTTACCCTTAACTTTGGTTATCTTGTTCCGCTTTTTTTGAGCTTTGCTGTTGAATGTGAAGAAAAATTACCCTTTAGAACTTGTTAGTTCTACACTTCTAGCCTGGCTGCCTTTAAACTCTGCAGAAAGTCACCATTTATCAGCGCGTTATCTGCGTTGTACAATGCTGGGACTGCTTTTCTGCTCGGAGGCAGCTTAATCCCTGCCCCTCTCACCCCTGCAGTGAGCTGAAGTGGTCAAACTTTCTGTGCTTGTAACAGGGGTCTGAGATCACCCGGAGAAGAACAGGTCTATTTTGGCTCACAGTGTTAGAGGCGGTTCCATGACTGACCCTGTTGCTTTTGGGTGTGTGATGAGGCAGTGTACACTGTGGTGGTCGCTCATGGTGGAGAACATGACTTGCCTCTTGGCTGGGGAGCAAAGAGAAAGAGAAGAAGACCAGGGTCCCTCTATCCCCTTGAGGGTATGACACCCCCTCACGACCAAAAGACCCCCTGATGAAGTTCCACCTCTTAAGGGTTCCACCACCTCCCAAGAGCGCCATGTTGGGGACCAAGCGTGGACCTTTAGAGGACACTTAAAATCCCAACTCCGGAAGTTGGGCATGGTGGCAAAGCCTGTAATGCTAGCACTCAGGAGGCCGAGGCAGAAAGATTACCATAAGTTCGAGGCGAGCCTAGGCTGCAGAATGAGTTCAAGGTGAGCCTGAACTATGTATCAAGACCCTGCCTCAAAACAAATAAAAAAATCTGAACTATACCACACGCTCCAGACTAGGTATTAGTGAAAGCATTATATAGGATAACATATGGACAGATAAGGAAAATAATTTGTAATTATAGGAAATAATTCCTTATAAAGTAGCATTTAACTTTCAAGTATATATAAAGCAGGACCAGGCATATAAAATTCTAGTAAGATTCTAAGAAACCATACCTACTTTATGAAGGACAACAGAGCGTTTGTTTAGGAACATGAAACATACCAAGTGTTTGGGATGGAATAACCCTAGAACTGTTTGTAGGACTCATTTTTTTTCTTAGAGAAGTTCTACCAAGAAATCTCACTGGCCATTCCCTTGCCGATAAGTTGTTAGAGAACAGGAAAAATAAAATTCTGTCCACTTTTTAGTCAATAAATGTTTAAATGCTAACTGTATTCCAAACACTCACTTCCTGAAAAACTGCTGCCGGGGCCTCTTGGAGACTATTCATTTCTTGATTATGTTGTCATGGTAACCAAGGGCTACTTCACGGACATGGGTGGGTGCGAATTCTCAAAAGCAATGTGGATCTGGCATTCTTTCCCACTAACTCATCTGAAACACTTGGTCACCAGTGGCGACAGAATGACATGGATCAGAACCAGAGAATTCCACAGCACTGTGACCCGAATGACATCCACACTACTGGTACTCGTCCTTGTGGAAGGAGGCAATCATTTCCACTTTGTCTCTGCAGTTGGAAAACACAAGCAGCAACACCCACACCTTGACCTTGTTTTTCCAGTGGTGCTGGCTATAGAACCTCATGCACTCTACATCACTAGCCCTTTCTCAGCAGTTTTTGAAGTTCTCTAACCCTATCTATTTCAGTCAATATTTCATTTGCCAGACTGGGGAGGTCAGTTAGTAGCAAGTCATCTCTTTTTAGATTTGCTAACAAACAGAACTAAAAAAGGTGTTGTAAAGTCATTCTTACAAGTTTTGTTACTGTTTGGTCAGTGAGTCTACCAAGAATACTCAATGAAAGCCAGAGAATAAGGATGGGAAAACTAGCAGAAAATAGAGTTGTCATCCCAACATTAAAATGGCCCTATACTTATGTCTCTATTCACAATTTGCATGCCACCATTTTTTCTTTGGGGTACCAGGAATCGAACTCAGGACCTCATTCTTGCCAGGCAGGTGCTGTGCCACTGAGCTAAACCCCTGGCCCCATCCACCAGTTTTTGTTGTCGTACTATGGGGTGAATTTATAGCCTTTGCACTGAGGTACATTCCTAGCCCTTTTTATTTTATTTTGAGACAGGGTCTCACTAGTTGCCAAATTGCCCAGACTGGACTGGAGTTTGTGATCTTCCTGCTTCAGCCTCCAAGAGTGCTGAGATTACAGCTATGTGCCATTACACCTGGCTACTCCATCAGTTTTAACAAAGGATCTGAAAAAGCTAGATACTCTAAGTAGAAGTGTTTCTCTGGTGGTAAGGAGCTGCACTGATTTCTTGTTTTATAATCATTTTTCAATTACAATACAACTACTAAGTTCCCACTGGAGTGGTACGAAACATTTCATTACTATGTGAAACCATAGGAATGTTCCAGGGAGACAAACTCACATTGCTTAGCGAGATGGAATCCGGCCAAAACCCCGCTAACATACAGATGCCTACAGATCAGCTACAATCCCTTTAAAAGACCTGAACTCTCCAGATACTAGTTGTCAGTCTTTCTGGGAACTGGGAGTTTTTATTGGAGGGGAATTAACTAGTTCAAGAAATATCCATCAAAGTAAGTGTGTGTCTCTTTCCAATTGTGGTATTTTCTGAGTCCTTCCTGCTTATACCCTAGGGCTGGGACCTTTGGACAAGTCCTGTCTTTTCTGATGACAGCTCAGTAGCAACAGGACCTCTTTAACCATCTGTCATGTCTCCTTTCCATGGGCTAGAATCCCTTGGGCCCCCTTGGGGATGGGTGGCAAGTCCAGTAAACAGGACCTCATCTTCTGGAGCTCCTGGATCTCACCGCTCTGAGGGCCACCGTGCACCAACAGGACCTCTTCTGCCCTCTGTATGGCATTCAGAGCTTCGGGTACCGCAAACCTGAGCCAAGAGAGGGAAGTTGTTTATTATTATTATTATTATTTTTTAAAGAAAGAGATGTTTACTCTATGAGAAAATAGATATTCACAAGCAGCAGGAAGAGGCAGTGTCTGGTAACAAGCACTGTGGGCCACCAGAGGCAACGGTGGGGACCTGCACAGCAAGCCACATGATGAGGGAACCACACACAAAGTGTCTCCAATTCCCTGGGCCCCTCCAATTCCAAAAGCAAATGGGATGTTTGTCCAGGTGTTGATGCTACTAAGTACTATGGATATTATACAAAAGGAAAAATTTAACAACTTTAGCTAGTTGGAAAATTAAATCTTTGGACAATACAACCTCACTGTGAAACTCCAGACTAGGATGTACCTGCCACACAAGAGACCACAACCATGGCTGCCATTTCTGATGCCCCCATTGCTGGTCATTTCTGATGCACACATCGCTGGGGTTCACACACAAGGGCAGCACACACGTCCCGGGAGAGGCTCAACTGCTCCAGAAGCCAGATCCATAGGAAGCAGAGAGGTGCAAACAATAAGACCAGAGCGCCCTTGAGAAGGCTGAGGTGAAGTGTGGGCAGGCAGCCAGGCCCAGGGGCACCAGGAAATCTGTAGGTTCTGGAGTCCCTTCCTTGGAGCTATCTGCAGGGCAGCAGCACCAACCAGGGTATCAGTACAGCAAGGCTTTGATCAAGGTGAGGGCAAGCTGGTTGTCCTCAGGGTGCTGACCGTGCAGCTGGAGATGAGGAGAGAGCCAGGAAAGTGCGCACTCCCAAGGCAGCAGGTTCCGCAGGCGCACACTGATGCCCCACAGCTGGGGGTTGAGTCCATGTCCACACCAGCTCTGGGCCAACCCCATCCTCCTCTGAGTCTCCTCAGAAGATGCGGAGCATGAGCACCTCGGGCCAGAACCCTGCTCCAGGCCTGCCTTCCTCTGCAGCATGCCTGGGTGTCTCAGCTCACTCTCACAGAAGAGGAACAATCACATCTTGGTGCCCAAATTGGGAAGGACCTACGAAGTCACTGGAAATGAAGCTCAGGTGCACCCTGGGGTTACGGCGTACCAGGAAACGAGTGGACTCAGCCTGAGCCAAGTCTAAGCCACTGGTCAGCCCTGTCCCTCCCAGTGCAGAAGAGCACAGAGGCCAGACAAGGGCCCTGTCACCATGGAACTGGATTTGTGTCCCCCAGAAGTTGCTCACATGAGGCAGAGTACCTCCCCTTACTTCCTGCTTCTTCCCAGAGACAGTCTCTGCCTTCCTGCCTGACTGGGGTAAGGCTTTAGGGACAGATGCCAGTGAGGGTCACAAAGGGTTCATTCAAGGGACACTCAGTATCTGGTCCCTGGCAAATGGCTCTCTGTAAGTGAGGGCCAGCTACAGCCCTGCTGGCCAGTGCTCTTCCTGTAGGACAAAGCCCTGGGGACAGTGCATGCTGGACAGTGGTTGGGGAAGTGCTACCCAGGCCGTTGTGGACACCACATACTCATGCAAAGTTTCTGGCTTTGGTTAAACATGTTCCTGCAGTGAGAACCATGCACATGTCTCAGGTTTCCCCTAGAACACATCTGAGGTGTGCAGAAGGTTGTGGACACTGACTGGTTTTCTTTTTTTGTTTGTTTGTTTTGTTTTTCTTCCAGTACCCGGAATCAAACTCATGACCTTGTGCTTGCCAGGCAGGCGCTTTGCTGCTGAGCTAAATCTCCAGCCCCTCTGACTGGTTTTCTTAACCACCTCTGCAGGCTGGGCTCACTGAAGTCAGGAGCTAGTGCTGAAGGCTCTCCAGCAGCACCAGCTGACAGTGAGTGAGGACGGCCACTCACTTGGCAAAAGTGGGTTTGGGAACTAGTGGAAGGGGCCTGTGGTTGCTCCACTGTGTTTGAAAGGCCTCGCTGCACTCTTCCCATCCTGCTGCCAGGACGACCCCAGGGTGACAGCTCTTTGGGGTGCCAGTTCCCAGCAGCCTCTCTGTTGCATCCTCTGCCCAAGGAGCTGCACGTGGCCACTGGTCTTCTCTGCTCCTTCCTTGAATGAAGAAATGTGGGTGTCTTTCCTGCTGCCTTTGACATTCCTTCGGACATGTTTCACAAGGAGCTTCTTGCTGGGGTGATCTGCTCTAGCAGCCTGAGTGGAGGGCTACTGTGGGGCAGGGTCGCTACTGTGTCAGAGCTCAAGGGAGTCAAAGCTGCCAACTGTGCTGTCAGCAGCACCTGGGGGCAGGGTGTCTCCCACAGCGGCAGTGCTCAAGGGCCGAGGGAGCCTGTGTCTGATGAGACCATCCAGGTGAGTGGGGCTGCCCAGCTGAGATGACAGCTGGGGCAGGAGGGCACACGACATGGGTGCATCTGGGGCAAGACCTTGGTTAAGAACAGAAGCCAGAGAACAAAACACAGGACAATCACTGATGCCGCTGTTGAATGATGAGTGGGAACTGGCGTCATCCACTGGGCACTTGGGTCCTCTGAGTTGGCCACAGAGCAGTGCTACCCAGCTTCATAGGGCTAGGCTCAGGGACCCGGGGTGGGGGGCGGGAAGTGTCCACAGACTGAAGCCTTTAGAGGTGCTGGTGGAAGGGCCAAGGCAAAGCAGGAGGCACTGGGCCCTCAGCACAGCAGGTGCTACTCCTGCTGTGTCCCAGGGCTTGTGTCCTTGTGTCTCAGGTCCTGAGCCCCAAGCAGCATGGAGTATCTCAGAAAACGGCTGTAGCTGCGAGGCGCCTGGAAGCTTCTGTGTTATTACTATGTTCTTGATGCAGAGACTTCTGAGCCAGCTCAGGTGCTCACATGCCGGACAGGTAGATTTTACTGGTAACGACAGGTCTGGGCAGTCAGAGGCACACCTGGCACACTGCACATGACCCTCGGGGGCTCCATGAATGAGGGAAGCATGGTGCATCAGAGCACCACAAGTCACTACCCGCGCGGTGCCTCTTCCACAGGTGGAACTTTAGTTGGCTGATGAGATGGGAGCGGCAGGAGAAGGCTTCCTGCACTTCTTGCACTCATAAAGGCCCTCACCTATATGTTTTCTGTACTTCATGAGGTTGGAGCTGTAGTTCAAGGCCTTCCTGCACTCCTCCTGCTTAAAGAGCTTCTGTGCCAAAAGGTCTTCTCATCCTCGCCACACTTATAGGGTTTCTCTGCTGTGTGAACCCTGATGGTGAATGTGATCTGCCTTGTGCTTAAAGATTCATCTGCATTCACTGCACTTGCAGGGTTTCTGCCTCTGAAAAGGAACAAACACAGGGACCCCCTTAAAGTCATTTTTAAGTGAGGCATTACAGGCATGGAAGAGCTGTGCCTACTCCTCAGGGCTCAGGTTCAGCTCTGCCATACACATCTCATTTTGCTTTTTCCCCTCCGACGCTTTCTCTCCTTTGAGAGTGGCCTATTGCATATCCACTTCCTCCTTTGGGGTCTGGGTCATCTTTCGCTGCCTCCAGGCTTTTCCATCACTGATCCTAGGAGGCAGGAAGTGGTCTGGAAGCCAGGGAGGGCTCAGGGCTGGAGGTCAGGGGCTTCTTGACTCCTCTGTGGCTCTACTCCTGCAGGGGCGGCTTGCCACGTCCTGCACGTGCAGCTGAAGCTCCGCTCCATTAGCCGGCACCTGTTCTCTTGCTGGAGACCGGGGTCACGACTTCTGAGCCGAGGTGTAGACGCTTGGCCCAGCACACCCAGTACCAAGTACCATCAGGGGCAGAGAGGCAGGAGAAGGCAGCTGGTTGGCATGGGCAGGAAGTGAGGAGTCAGGGCACTCAGTTGGTCGCACAAATGTTAACTAAAGCCTTACTCAGATGCCGTGAAGCACACAAAGGCAACTGGGATAGTTTATATCCTCCTGAGCTTACACTTTCCTAAACACTTCAAAACAGAACTTGAGAACAAAATTACGAAAATTAAAAAGTAAAAAGACTCCAAGATCTTGAGAAAAACAGGCAAATCTCAAAGCTCCAATCTGACATTTACGCAGGGATGTTCACCCTAGGGTAACCATGTCTACTGCTGGCCAAACTTTGTACCCTTTCTTCTTTCTCTGACCAAATGGTCTACTCACTATTTATCTTCGGTTTAGGCTTCAAATACTTTCTCATTTCAATGTACGCCAATGACAGTTTCATCAAAGCTGAGATATTACATTCACAAATACTTCAGAAATAATCAGAGCCCCCCAAAAGACCAAGTGAAAGTAGGCCAGCAATCAGCTCATCAACCTACTCTTCTTTCCTTTGTTTTTTAAATTTTTCTGAGTGGTGCTGGGGATTGAACCCAGGAAAGCCCCCAGCTTTTTTTTTAAATGTTTTTGAGTCAGGGTCTCCCTGTGTAGTTTAGGCTGGCCTCACACTCATGGCGATCCTCCTGCCTCAGCTGGGATTACAGGCAAGTGCTGAGGTCACGGGTGTGTGCCACCATGCCTGGCAAGCTTCTAACCTCTAAGGCGGGGTTTTTCAAGTTTGACACAACTGATATCATGGGTCAGATACTGTACTGCATATTTTAAGAGCTTTAGCAGCACCCCTGGATGTTAGTAGAACCCCTTCCTCAAGCTGTGTCAATCAAAAATATGTTCCGACAGTGCCAAATGTCATCTGGGGCAAACATCATTCCTGGCTGAAAACAACTGCTTTAAAAGGAATAGGGAAAAGGCAGAGACCCTGGAGTTGAGGCCATGGGAGTGTGATTAACCACAGAGGAATGAGAGAGCAGGCTGCGCCACTTGACGGGTGGGGCTGCTTGGCAAGTCTTCCCTGGGAAACTCACTTCAGATCTAAGAGCTTTCCCCATATCTCTCAGAAGACAATGCTATAGTTTTAAGTTTGTCAGCAAAAACAAAAGGCAGGCACCTCTCCTAAAGAGGAAATAAAAAAGTTTCAACAAGCTTAAAAGCACCACAGGAAAAAAGTCATACACTGAAATGCCTAATAACAAACCAGAAGAGCATGTGCCCTGGCAAAGCACTAGGATCAAGCAAAGACTCACCCGTTGAACAAGACTTGGGCTAGTTTGAAGAGCTCATGGCCTGTTTCAACACTGGACGGCCCGTGGCGAGCCTCAACCACTTGGAGACTCTTCTGTAGATGGGTAGCTGATTTTTGCCAATCCCCTGGAAGGAAGGAAAAACCTTATTCCAGAGAAGAATCTTAGGTAATTTTTTTTTTTTTTTTTTTTGTCTTTTTGAGACAGGGTCTCACTATGCAGTTCAGGCTGGACTTGAGCTCACTTTGTAGCCCAGGCTGGCCTTGAACTCACAACAATCCTCCTGCCTTAGTACTGGGATTACAGGCGTGCGCCACCATGCCTGGCTCCTCAGGTAATTCTGGATAGATTGTCCGGTGACAAAACGTGACTGGAGCGGACAGTAGCCTCAGTTTCAACACAGAGAACCAGAACAGGCAAGGGTGCCACCAAAACACACAAGGCAGGAAACGAAGCATGTGCCATACCTAGGGCAGCATAGGCCCGGGCCAGGTCATCCTCAATTTCCCCTACCACAGCATGCTCTGCTGACAGGAAGCTCTCAGCATCTTCCCGGCACCTTAACAACCACAGAATGGCTTGCTCTATAGATTGCAAGGAAAAACGTCTCAGTATAGACACAAATCCAGTCCTGGACATGAGAACCCAGGTCTCACATTTTGGGCTGATGTAGAAATTCCCCCTCATGTCCTGGGTTGTCACTAACCCATAGTGTTCCAGTAAAGTTGTTCTGTATCTTTTTCCTTCAGGAGGAAAAGGTGCTAGGTGAGGAACCCCCACATTTACCCTTGGTTTCCAACACCCACTTTCCAATACAACTAATTCTACAGTTCACTTACAGCCATTATTTCTCTTATCTTTCAAATCTATGCTAAAGTTTAACTTTCATAAAGTAGAGCAATGTTAAACTCTAATTTTCAGGGGCTATGGGGAGTGTCACAATTTCTTTCTCTTTTTTTGCTTTGTTTTCAGATGGGTCTTGCTTTGTAGTCCAGGCTGGCCTTGTACTCACTATGGAGCCCAGGCTGGCCTCGAACTCATGGCGATCCTCCTCCCTCAGCCTCCCAAGTGCTGGGATTACAGCCAAATGCCATGCCTGGTTGACAATTTCTTTTCTGAAAAGAGACTTGTGTGATGATGGGGATCGAAACCAGGGCTTCATGCTAGTCAAGTGGCTACCACTAAACGATATTCCCAGCTCAAGAGCAGAATTCTTAATTCTACTATAGACAAAAAGGTTTTGATTAGGAGAGAATAACCTTCCTAGGAAGTTAGGTCTTCAAGCCCTGGAGCTAAAATAAACAATACAGAACTTCTGGAGTTGCACAGAACTCATGGAAGTCAGAGCAGACTCTTCAGTCATCAGGAATACATAACTTGCCTATCTGATGTATAAGACAATAGCTTAACTCATCTGGCATTTTTCTCAAGGATACCAGACTAAGTGGTAAGATTTACTCTTAACTGGCCTATATAGCCATCTTGTGGCTGGTATGGGGATAATTAAATTCAATTCTTCAATCACTGAGTAGCTTTTTTTTTTTTTTTTTTTTTCTCAGTACTGGGGGTCAAATCCAAGGCCTCACACATAATAGGCAAGTGCTCTACCACTGAACTACACCTCCAGCCCTGTTCTTGAATGCAAATTGATACCAGAATATTAAAAAGCGAAGGGGTTAGTAGACCAAAGGAAGGAGCCAGCCTCACCGAGCTTGCCATTTCTGAGAAGCTTCCAAGCCATCCCAACCTGCTGCTGTAGGTTCTGCAACCGAGAGACCAGGTGGGTCCTGCTGACGGCTTCCGGACAAGCTCCATTCCCACAGCTCAGGACATCGTCCCCCTGTGGAAGTCAGTTGTGTTTTTATTTCTGTACCAGAGTTGGTTATTAATACCAGCCATGGTTATGTTATAGGATCACTGACCTGATGGGGGAAAAAGACTTGCAGTAACATATCAAACCCAAGCCTGGCTGGGTTAGTTAGTCTGCGAGCAGCAGTGCTAATGAAAGTAGTAGCTGGTTCCATCCCAACATTTACTTTTCAGAACAGAACTGCTAGAATTCACAGTTCTTCATCTCAACAGCTCCTCTTTTATCTTTCTTTGGGGCCAGTCCTTGGATGACTGACACATTTCTAGTGGTTATAAAAAAGCTGTACGAAAACCAATACAAAAAGGTGCTAAGTGAGGCCTCCTCAGATTTGACCTCAGGTCTGCAACTTCAGCTTTCCAATACAACCAATTCTTCGGTCTTCTTATGATTACCCTAAAAAATAAAAAACACTGTATGCCCTTGTAGAGGAGAAACTTCTGAGGTGGCCACTCGCTTTGTTGTTGGAAGACCTATGCCATCATTCGGCCACAGAAACTCACTTTCTTGAGGTCCTTCACCTTCTACAGTCAGTGCTCTGTAGTTGACAGTGTGGCCATGTGGTTCAAATGTGGCCTGTGCCTCTGGTCCCAATGGCTGGAAGAAAATTCTGTGGCGCTGATTTTCTTTCAGCCTCAGTCACTGGGTCAATGCCACACAGTAGGACTGTTGTTGGAGTGCTACCAGTTTTCAACCTCTTGCACAGGGAAGACAAGGAAGCTGAGCTACGGGCTGCCATCTTGCCATTATGAGAGGGACATTTCCCTGGAGATGGGGCTAGCACAGAAGGAATGGAGCTGAGAGGCAGATGGAAAGTGGGGTCCTGGAGACTCTATCTGAGCCCCCAAGCTGTGTCTGAAAAAGCCCTGACTTAGAACTTTTCAATTACTTAAGCAAAAAAACTTCAGTCTTTTTCCTCTTCTGTCAGTTTAGGTGGGGTTTCCTGTCATTTGAAAGAGAATCATCACTAAGTCCATCCTTTCCCATGGTTTCTTTGGAGGGACAGCCAATGTGTGGGAGTGACACTACTGCTCTGTACCTATAAGCCCTCGATGGCTGCTCCTCTTGAAGACCGATGACCTTTGGGCGGGAAAACTGTTCTCCAGAAACAGCAGAGAAGAGAGGGAGGAGGGATTTACCTGCATGAGTGCTCTGCAACTGTTACAGCGGAATGCTTCCCACCTGGGCCCTGTAGCTGTTCTGGGCTCCTCACAATGACAAGCTGGACAGCTACAGTCAAAGAAGTACTGAGACCTCAGCTTCTGCTGCCTTTCAGCAACACTCATCCGGCTCTCATGTGGCCCTGGAGAGAGATCACCCTCAGCTAATACTGAAAGCAAGGGACAGTCAAACAGTACTTAAGAGCCCTTGGCTCAGCAGAGGGTCTGGACGATTACTCATCATGACAGATAACCTTTACTTACACATTTGTGGAACTGGACACTGAACTAAGCTTCCAAGTTGCTGGGACAGGAAGATAAAGAAGCTGAGTGTTGCTCTTAGCCCATTTCAGAATAGGAAGTTTATAGGGATTAAGCAACGACAGACATGATAGTTTAACCACAACAGGGCTTCTTACTATGGTTAAGAAGATCTTTTATTTTTTGGACTAGAAATGCACTGTCTTTTCCCAGTAACAAAGACCAGGCAGGTGAAGGCCTAGGGGCTTGCTCTTCCCTGTCCACTCCGTCTTTTGGCTGTAGAAAAGTGGGACAGGGGCTGGCTCACCATAGCAGTGGAGAATCTCCTGCCCTTTTCTAATTGGCTGCGCTGCCCGAACGGTGGCGACAGTGCCATTGAAAGACACGCTGGTATTGGGGCTGCAGGAGTGGTTCAGGAGGCTCACAACAGGGAAGATGCCTGTGGCAAGGCGGACCTGCCCGCTGTCAGTAATGATGCTCTCTTTAGATGCTGAAAGTGCAACAGGCAAAAGGAAAAATATGGCACGTCAGTCCTGGCTTCACATCCATTTATCAGAAGTTAAGCCGGGCAGCTGGGCCTCAAGCCCATTTGAGTCATGCCTCCACAGCCGGATCCAGTCTAAATCAGTTGGAAGATGACTCATGGCAAACTCTGGTCCCTAGGAAGCAAAGTGAATGAACACAAGAAAAGGCCACTGGAATCCTGGAACCTAGCCATTGTGTCTTGACACCACACACACAAAACCCCCCAACATTAGAATTTATAAAAAATAATAAAAAGGGGATTATCAGTGGGGAGCTTTCCTGACAGGTTCATAACGTTCATGAGGACACAGAAACCAGAGTACCTGTTGAGATTATTTCCCAAAGACTTTTATATTCCAAGTGCTTTTATTTAACTGGTCTCTGGGTGGTTAATAGAACAAGTGACCTACTTATTATATCAAACTTTATATATTTAAGCTGGCTTAAGGGTATATAAAAAAAAAATCAATAATCTTCATGCTTACTTCTTCATTATACCCCTTGTTCCACATTTATGGAAAACCAGAAAGTAGTTTTCATGGAAGTAAATTCTCTATATTAACTTTATTCAAGAGGATCTCCTAGTCCCCAAAGTCTCTGTAGTACAGTTAACCAGCAACTTAACTACATGATTGAACCTCAGAAATGAAGAAAAAGGCCTCCAGGCAGTGAGGCAGGCCTGCACCAAAGCTCATACACTTACGTTCCTATGTTGAATTGTTTATACTCATGTATGTCTGTGTGTCAGATTTCCATTGCTGTGATAAAATACATGAGAAAATCTACTTAAAAAGAGAAAAGTTTTATTTTGGATCATGGCTCCAGAGGTATCAGTCCACGGCTACTTGGTTTTTGTCACTTTAGGCCTGTGATGGTGCAGCACATCATGGTGGGAAAGTGTAGCACAAGAGGCTACTCACTTCATGGTGGCCGGGAAGCAAAAAGAGAGAGGGAGGGGCTATGATCCGTCTCCTTCAAGGGTCCCTAACTTCCTTCTACTAGGCCTTACTTCCTAGAGGTTCCACCACCTCCAGTAATGCCACAGGCTGGTGGCCAAGCCTTTAGCATATGGGCCTGTGGAAGACATTTAAACATCCAACCATAGCAACCTATTTGCTCTTATTTTAGACATAGTGCTAACTGATTTGGTTAAGCAGGTTCTCAGGCCACAAATGTGCAAAAGCAGAGAGCCAATATGGGGAGAATCTAAGAAGCAGTTTTTTTTTTACTTTTACTTTGTGTGTGTGTGTGTGTGTTTTTGAGACAGGGTCTTGCTATGCAGTTCAGGCTGGCCTTGAGCTCACTTTGTAGCCCAGACTGGCCTCGAACTCACAATGATCCTCCTGCCTCAGCCTCCCAAGTGCTGGGATTACAGGTGTGTGCCACCATGCCTGGCTAAGAAGCAGGTTTATCTAACAATAGCAAAAGACAAGTGACACACTGGAGGGAGAGGTAAAATGTCTGAAGAGTAACAGACTTATAGCAAATAAAACACTAATACCACTCAGCATTTTACCATGCTGGCAACATATCACCTAACCAGAAGGTCCTAGACAGACAGCATTCCCACACGAGTTTTTGTAATAGCCAGACAGGAGCACGGATGGTATAGATAATCCCCAAGTCTTCAATGTGCAGTAGCCTTGGTTTAAGCATGAGGAAAATCATGTTTCCAACAAGCTCACTGAAATATGAAAGATATTAATATTTAAAGGGAAACATTTAGTTTTCTAGAAAGCTGGAAACCATCAGATAATTATGGTATCACTGTACATATGCCAAGAATCTCAACAGACCGTTTACCAAAGAAATAAGTAGTCTAGATACAAATGTAATGAATAAAGAAAATATCATGAACCATCATGTGAAAATGTTCTATAAAGGAAAACATTAAATATACGAATTATGTTGTCTCTCTGCAGACAATTCTATTATCTGTTGCTATGGGGGACAAGAATAGAACAAGTAAATACAATTCACAAGGAATCCAAATGAATCAATTTTAGTCAATAATTCCATAAACTGTACTAAAATCTTTCATCAGAGCTTTTCCTAAGTGCTTAATTGATTTCAGTTTCCTTTCCTCCCCCTCCCCCTTTGTCCAATGTCTACCTTCTGGAATATGTGCTAATGAGCAGAGAAAATGCTAAAAGGTAGGCAGGCGGAAGGAGCTGTACAAGGCACGAACAATTTGTAGTCTGAATAATCAGCCTCTGCATAATTAAAAGTTGACTTGCATTCCAAACTACTGATAACTGGCAATCTGTATTAGAACAGTTGCTAAAATTTCTCAGAAAAAATGATTGCAATACAGTGAGTAATGTCAGCTTTGTGAATTATTTATAGATTATCCTCTAAGAGACGCAGGGCCAGTAACTGAGTGGGTATTCGAGTCAGAGCTGAATGTCTAATTACTTCTACAAAATTAAGTATTGATTTTTCAAAATTACTCAATATTTTGCATTAGTCATATATTAGCAGAGATAATAGAAAGCAAGAATATATATGTACCTCATCAACCAAATTTAATATATGACATTTTATATTAAAAAAAGGGAGAGAGGCTGGGCATGGTGGCCCATATCTGTAATCCTGGTACTCGGGAGGCTGAGGCATGAGGATCGCTTTGAGTTCAAGACCAGCCTGGACTACAAAGTGAGCTCCAGGCCAGCCCGAACTGCACAGTGAGACCCTGTCTTAAAAGGACAAAAAAAAAAGGGCCAAGGGTATAGCTCAGTGGCACAGTGCCTTGGTTGGCAAGCCCAAGGTCCTGAGTTTGATTCCAAAACAAAACCAAACAAAAAACAAATGAGATTTGAGCTAGGTGGGGTGGCATATGCCTGTAATCCCAGCACTACAGAGGCTGAGGTAGGAGGACTGCTGTGAGTTCAAGACCAGCCTGGGCTACAAAGTGAGCTCAAGGTCAGCCTGAACTGCATAGCGAGCTTCTGCCTCAAAAAGACAAAAAAAAAAAAAAAAAAAAAAAAAAAAAAAAAAGGGAAGAAGACAAAAAAAAAAATTAAGAAAAGGGAGACAGCAAGAAAGCTGTGGTACCACAAACCTGTAATCTAACACTCTGGAGGCTGAGGCAGGAAGAACACAAATTTGACTTCAGCCTGGACAACTTAGCTACTTAGTGAGACCCTATCTCAAGGTGAAAAAAATTTAAAAGGGGTGGGGCTGTAGCTCAGTGCAAAGGCCCTGGATTCAATCCTCAGTGGCCCTGGATTCAATCCTCAGTACTGAGATAAAGAGACAAAGACAAGAGACACAGAGGGAAACAGAGACAGAGAGACAAGAATCTTTACCAAAATGTATTTCACTAATGTCTCTAGTACATTTAAAATGGGATTCAAGTTAAAAAAAAAAAAAGAGAGGCATGAAGGAAGCAAGCATGTAAGCTAGTTAGATGTGGTGGTGCATGCCTGTAATCCCAGCACTTCGGAGGCTGAGGTGGGAGGATCACCATGGGTTCAAGGCCAGCCTGGGCTACACAGTGAGTTCAAGGTCAGCCTGGAATACATAATGAGACTTTGTGTAAAAAAAAAAAAAAAAATCATTCACATTAGTTCTAGAATATTTCTACTCTGGTAAGTATTTTGAGAACGAGAAACTCTTGTATGTTAGGCTGGAACACTGAAGAGTGAAACCAAAGGGCAGTGAATTGATCTGAGGCTACACAGAAACTTTTTAAAGACTATTATGACATGAGCCCAGATACAATCCAGATGCGCTGTCTCCACTGAGACAAAAGCACACACACCTGCATCCAGGTGTAGAATGTCATCGGTGGCTGGTTCTGTCCCTTGAGATGGGCACCAGATAAGGGTTCCTGAGAATTTTGATTAAAAAGGATTTATGCAAATATAATAACATACATTTTTATGGGTTTTTGTCAAAGTCTATCCTAGTTAACACTTTAATCTTTCTTCTGTGCTACTAATGAAACAGCTGCTAATGAAATTCAATGAGAACACTAAATTGGGAGGTGTTGGAACCCCAAAGAAATAATAAAAAGGGATATAACAAGATTAGAAATATGAGCAGACTAAAACAAAATTAGACTGAGTTAAAAAAATGAAAGTGAATATTGCTGGTGGGCATGTAGCTGGTATAATTTACCTGGAGGGCAGTTTTACAGTATGTATCAAGTACCTTAAAAATGCTCATATAAAAATGTTCTTAGTGTTTGGATTATTTTTATTATTTCAAAAAGAACCCCTAAAGTTACAAAAGGGAAACACTATAATCATGAAAAATTAAAAATCAAAAGTTACAGAGACAATGACAGTCATCTGTAACCCTATTACGTATAACATTTCGGTATATTGCCTCATGGTCTTCTCTCTAGGTTTATGTATGAAATCCTCCCAGTCCCCCCACTGCACCCTAGTACTGAGGAATGAATTCTGGGCCTCTTGGATGCTTGTCAAATGCTCTACCAATGAGTTACACCCCCAGCGCTTTTAATTTTGGGGGGGGGTTGTATTGAGATAGGATATTGCTGTGTAGTCCAGGCTGGCCTTGAACTCCTGGGGATCGTCCTGCCTCAGCCTTCCAGTTGCTGGGATTACAGGTGTATGCTACCATGCCCGACCGCTTTTAATTTTTAATTAATGCAATGCTGGGGATCAAACCCAGGCCTTGCCAATGTTAGACAAGCACTCTTACCACTGAGCTATGTCCCTAGCACGCTCCCCCCTTTTTGGGTGGGTACCGGGAATTGAACTCAGGACTCCAGGCTTGCCAGGCAGGTGCTGCTGTCACTGAACTAAATTCCTAGCCCCTCTCTCCTTTAATTTTGAGACAGGATCTTCCTAAATTGCCTAGCCTGGCCTTAAATTTGGATCCTCCTTCTCAGCCTGAAATTATAGGCATTTGCCACTGTGCCTGATTACATACGGAATTTTTAACATAACTGGCAACACAGTAGAGGAGATGATTTGTAAGTTACTTCCCTTCACA